AACCATCCTCCTGTTTCAGCCTCCTGAGTGCTGAGATTACAGGTGTGCATCACCACACCCGGCATGTTTTTTTGTCTTTTTGGGACAGGGTTTCACTATGCAGTTCAGGCTGCCCTTGAACTCACATTGTAGCCCAGGCTGAACTCAAATTCACAGCAATCCTTCAGCCTCCCGAGGGCTGGGATTACAGGCATGCGCCACCATACCCAGCGATATGTCCTTGTTGCAGGGGGTACATGACATTAACATAAACTATTTTGGGGATGTTATCGTTGATCACTTGCAAGGCTTCTCCAATAAAGTAAGTTATTATTTTTCTCTTACATATTCTATTTGTTAGAAGCTAGTCAACATAAATTGGGCTTAGTGTTAAAGGCCTGTAATCTCAGCACATATTGAGACTGATGCAGGACAGTCACAAGTTCAAGTCTTGTCTAGGCAACTTAGCAAGAATTTCTGTCCAAAAGACAAAACCCCAGAAGACTAATAAAGGGGTAGAGATGTAGCTCAATGGTAAGCACTCATAAATTCAATCCCCTGGTACTGCAAAAAGATAAACAAAACAAAACCCTGTGGTTATACATTAAAAATACCAAAATAATTTAGAGGGAGATACAGTTAAGGATAGGAAAATGACATATAGTTGTGCCCACAGATTTTAACATTTATCAATAGATCTTGCCTATGCTAATTATTCTGTGATGATCTAAAGATTCTTCTTTTCCCTCCTTTCTATATTATTTAAATTCTTCCGTGAAGATTTGTATCTTTTCCCCTATTTAAATCATTTAATCATTTATTTGTGTTTATCTATAATTCATTAATATCTTTGGATTATAAACTAGTAATACTGACATTTATTATACCTCTCAAATTTTCTGCTTCACACTTCGGTTGCTCTTTCAGATTGGTTTTAAGTTATTAAAATATTATCAATGAGGAAAACCAAGTACCACATGCCTTCTGTGTGATACACTGGAGACATACGCTCATGCCACCTACCTTGTTTTCACTCTTTTGACTATTTCGTTGTTTCTTTGAATTACAAGATATTACAAACCTCCCATGTCCCTGGAGCAGTCCTGAGGAGCTACATTAAAAGCGCTTTTTTATTCGGAGATGAAGTCTTGCTAACTTGCCAAACTGAACCTTCTGCATCAGCTTCCCAGACTACTGGGATTACAGGTCTACACCAGTATGCCTGGCTTCCAGGTTCACCTTTTATTTTCCTTTCTCCACTTTCAAAATCAACCGTTTCTTCAAGGACTCCCAGGTCTAACATTAGAGAACAGTATTTATAGCTGGACATGGAAGTGCATGCCTGTAATCCCAGCTTTCAGGAGGCTGAGGCAGGGGGACTGCTGTGAGTTCGAAAGCAGCTTGGGCAACATAGTTGAATTTAAGGCCAGTCTTAAGAACCCTGTCTCAAAAAGACAAAAAAGTTAAAGTATTTATAAAACAAGGCCTAGGCATATGACATATTAATATAGTCCATCCTTTTCATGTAAGTTTTACATTTTTAAAATTTTTTTGGCTTTTTGAGATAGGGTCTTGGTATGCAGTTCGGACGGCCTTGAACTCACTTTGTAGCCCAGGCTGGCCTTGAACTTGCAGCTCAGTGTGAAAGCTCTGGGTTCAATCCTCAGTAAATGTAATCAATTGATCAACCAGAAAGAACTGGTTAGAGCAAAAACCATGTGAATTAAATAACCAAAGCTGTCACTGAGGCAAACCAACACCACATGATTTCTACACAATGAGAGAAGAAGATACATTAGTTGACTAACATTCCTGCCAAAAATTCATAATCTAGCCGGGTGTGGTGGTGCACACCTGTAATCCCAGCACTTGGGAGGCTGAGACAGGAGGAT